AGGTTATTTATGCATATTATTCTGCGGTGGCTAAATTGATATATTTAGGAAGATTGGAAGGTAAAAAATATTTTGGAAAAGAGCCTGATATTATTTATCAACCTTATTCTAAGGAACAACAGGAGTGGCTGTATGCTCATACAGATGATTGGCTTCTTGCTTGTGCCAATTATTTGGGAAAATTAAGAAAAAAATCATTACCCAGGAAACAAATTAATTCAGTTTTTAAAGGTGCATCCTATAGTTTTTCCACTCAAAACAAAAGTTAATCCAATTGTTGACGCTTTAGTGGTATTTACTGATGGTTCATCAGCTGGCGTTGCTGCCTATACTTATGAAGGAAGAGCAGTATCTTTTCAAGTGTGTAGCACATCTGCACAAAGAGCAGAGTTGTCTGCAGTATTAGCTGTGTTTCAGAGTTTTACTAAGCAGCCTTTAAATATTTTTACAAACAGTGCATATACTGCTCAGTCTTTGCCTAGGTTAGAGACTGCAGGTCAAATTCAAACAACTTCTCCTTCTGGACTTTTATTTTTGCAAATTCAAAATTTAATACAAGAAAGAACCTTTCCCTTTTTTTATAGGACATCTGAGGGCTCATTCTGATTTGCCAGGACCCCTGTCTGAAGGAAATGCATTGGCAGATAAAGCCACCAAAGTTTATCATTTATCCTAGAAGAAGCCCAGGATGCCCATAATATGCATCATCTTCATAGTCAAACTTTGACTATGAAACAGGCCCGTAGTATAGTCAAGGCTTGCAGTACTTGTCCTCAATTTCAACCTGTTCCTCATTTAGGAGTCAATCCTAAAGGATTGGTTCCAAATCAAATTTGGCAAATGGATATTACTCATGTTCCTGATTTTGAAAAATTAAAAAATGTACATGTTTGCATAGATACCTATTCTGGATTTATTTTTGCCACTCCTCAATCTGCAAAGGCTACAAAGAATGTTATTGCTCATTGTCTGCAAGCTTTTAATGTTCTGGGAGTTCCTAAGCAATTTTTTAAACTGATAATGGAACAGGATATACTAGCAAATCTTTTAAAAAATTTTGTCAACAATTTCAAGTTTCTCATATAACTGAAATACCTTATAATCCTCAAGGACAAGGCATGGTAGAGCGCACCCACCAAACAATTAAGATTTATTTGCAAAAAAAAAACAAAAACGGGGGAGCTACTCCCCTGGACACCAAAGAATCATCTTAATCATGTTCTTTTTATTCTAAATTTTTAAAATTTGGATAAGCATGGTAAATCTGCAGCAGATAGATTTTGGCATACAGAAACCAAGAAAACTTTTGCTAAAGTAAAATGGAGGGATCCTTTAACAAATCAATGGTGTAGGCCTGACCCTGTACTCATATGGGGATGAGGATCTGTCTGTGTTTGTTCACAGGAAAATTATGCGGCTCAATGGCTACCGGAAGGCCTGGTGCGACAAGTGGATGAGGAGCTTTCTCCTGACAATGAGAATGATGTCGATGAAGACCCCTCCGGTCAAGAGGACTCTTTATTGGACATACGTTCCTGATCCACCTTTACTACATCCAGTTTCCTGGGATGATCCAGAAGTCCTTGTTTATGTCAACAACACTCAGCTGCTGGGTTTTCCTGCTTTTGAAGGAACGCAAGTAAAACAGACTCTTAACTTTTCAGGAATGGGAAGAGGTCATCCTCTCTGCTTTACCAGAGAGAGTATTCATCAGGACTGCTTACCAGTCTCCCCTGTCCAGGTCATAGGCCACAATGCCTACTACTCTGAAGTTGGGGTGGCAGCTCAAGCCTCCCTTTGTAACTAGGTATATTGGAATATTGGAATATTGGAAGGATATTATTGTCCCCCCCTACGGGAGTTAAGAATGACAGTCTTACATCTCCAATGAGTTACTGACCTTGTGAGAAAGGGGACCAGCGCACTTGTCCTTGACCAATGGTTCCTTGGACAAGATGCATCAGAGAAACGTCCACCATCTACTCCTGGGACAATGACCCTGCATGTACAGTTGTGGACTGGTCTAACATTAAGGGTATAAAGAACTTGGCTTCTGATAGAGGCAGTCAAAATTCCCTTGTTTTAGAAAAAGCTGTTCTGGACTTTGGAGGACATCAAATAGAAATTGGCAAACCCATGTGCAAAATTGGGGCTGCCTGAGGAATGCCTTGGGCATTCTCCATGGGAATGCAAGTAGTTTTACTGAATTAGTTAAGTATATTTCTGTTTTGGATGTGTTAATCCTCCTTATTTACTGTTACCTGGTAAAATTATAGAAAAACATTTTAAAAATAATACCTATTTGACTGAATGTGTAAACTGCAATTTTAACTAATTATGTTAAGACTGATAATGAAGCTCTTTCAGTATTAGTTGTTAAGCAACCTGCTTTTGTTATGACTCCTGTTAGGGTTTCTGATTCTTGGTATGATGAAGGGAATGTTGATATTTTTTGAGGAATTAAAAAAAAGAGTTGCAGTGGGATTGATTGTGGCAGGAGTAATTGTGCTCATTACACTTATTGCCTCTGCTCCTGCGTCTGCGGTTGACAAGGCAACTGGTACAAACTGCTTCTTACGTGGAAAATTTGGCACATGTTTCAGAAGTTTTACATGCTCAAGCAGATATTGATGATAAGATTAACCAAAAGCTAGATGATTTAGCCTCTACAGTTAATTTACTAAAAGACATGCATAGCTTAAAACAATTAAGTAGGTTTAGATGCCATGCAGCATTCAGATGGATTTGCGTTATGCCTTTTGAATATGATGAGACAGAATTTAACTGGACTCGAGTTCAGAATCATCTGGACATGATAACTATGAGAAATGAGATCCACGATAAAGAATTTGCCAAGGGACCTAGATTGGAATTGGCCAATGCAGCCTGGGATATGTTTACTAGCCTCAGGAGGCACTTTCCATCCTTTGACTCTGTGCTTAAGTGGGGACTGACACTTGCGGGCACGGCGGGTATGGGTTTGTTGGCCTGTGCCTGCCTTCCTTGTGTGTTACAGTTCCTTCTTCAACAACTTCAGCGCACACAAGTGCAGCTGCATGGATTTAAGTTAACGATCTCTAACAACCCTGTTTGATATGGAGGTAAGTCAAATATGGGTAAGAGTGAAAATGTGGTTTTACTGACCTAAGACAGGCTCGTGAAAATTGCATCCGAGACCTTGATGACAGGTAAGAAAAATGCACATTTCACCAACCTAAGACAGGCTCTCCATAAAACAAAAAAGGGGGAACTGAAGGAGTCTGGTAATGGAATTTTGCCTCTTGGCCTTGGCAGATATGGGTTTACTCTAAAGTTCAGTTTCTCAGAGATAGACCCTGGCAGTTTCTCCAGCAGGGGGCTCTGTTCCTGAGAACTAGGTAACAAACGTTGTGTAACCTTGAGTGAATCCTTGGGTGTTTTGCCAAGTGAAGCAAATGGGCTGCTGCTATGAGAAAGTTGCTTGTGGCTTTTTGCTTTAAAAAGGCTGTCTGAGTGCCTTGTAAACCAGTCTTGATCAGAAACCTGTCTTGACTCCATTCTTCGAGTCTCTGACCTGATCATTCCCACTCTCTCTTTCAGGTAAACCCTGCTCAACTTGCCCCGAGGGACGGGTCACTTAAGCAATTTCTTTCTTTTTAAAGTTTTATGTGTATGGATGTTTTGCCTGCATATATGTTTATGCAATATTTGTGTGCTAGAGGCCCAATGAGGGTATCAGATCCCCTGGAACTCGAGTCACAGACAGTTGTGAGCTGTCATGTGGGTGTTGGGAGTTGAACCCAGTTTCTCTGGCAGAGTGGCCCATGCTCCTGAGCCACCACTCCAGCCTCTATTTGTGTGTATGAGTATACGTTTATACACAGAGATCCGCAAAGGGCACCAGGTGTCTTCCTCTATCACTCTGCACCTATAACTTTGAGTCAAGGTCTCGAACCTGGGGCGTGAGTTGTCTCAGCTGGACTGGAAACCAGTAAGTTACAGACATCCTCCTTCCACCTTCCCTCGGAGCTGAGGCTGAAGGCATCTGTAAATCTTGGCTTGTTATGTGGCGCTGGAACTGGATCTCTGGATCTTCAGGATTGCACAGTGAATGCTCTTAGCAGCTGGGCCATCTTCCCAGCCTCGGCACTATCCTTTGAACACAGCAGAAGCCCCGTAATTGAGCAGCAAGATCTCTGGCTCCTGATGAGGGGGCATTGTCAGAGCTGGGCACCCCACAGCTGTGACCTTGGGTTAACTCCTCGAAAGATCCAAGCAGGACACCATGACTCCTAGTTTACAGCACTGCTAACAGGGTTAGATTAAGGAGAGATGTTCAGAGTAGTAGCCCCACAAACGGTTCCTTATCTTCTGTCTGCTCTGCTTCTGCCAATTTCCAAAGCAGTCCTCTGCACCTTGAATGGCTAATGGAGAGGTGTCTAAAGATCAGAGACAAATTCCGCTCCCCCTCCTTCGTCTGAAAGGCACCTTAACCAACTGGGTCTGCATCACACACTGTTATTCCGGGGATGGCACCTCCTCCTGCTTAAAGATACTTTAAAATTGTGTATGCACAAATGCACACACACACACAAGTACAAGTGCCTGTAGAGGCCAGTGTTAGATCCCAGGAGGCTGAGGTTACTGACATGGGTGCTGAGAACTGAACCCTGGTTCTCTGCAAGAGCAGGGTGTGCCCTTAGACACTGAGCCAGCTCTCCAGCCCTGCGACACCTGTTCTGAGGTCTAACCCAAAACCCCACCTGTGTGTGTATGTGTGTCTTTTTAGGTTAGGGTTCCACGGAGCCTCAGCTGGCCTTGAACTTGCTAACTATATGAGGATGTGCTTGGACTCTTGATCCTCCGGTCCTGGCTCCATGCCTTTAGGGAGGAGCTCCTTAACTGCTGGCAGAGGTTCAGACCCCTGTGTCTTCCATTCCTGTCCTCCTGTGCCATCCACTCACGTGCTCCCCAACGGTCATCTGGACCCGTCAAAATAAACATAAGCCCCAGGACACCTTGGTAAAACTTTATTCACAAACCTCAGAGCCCTAGGCCTGGCTCAGCCAGGGTACATTCTTAGCAGTGGCAAACCCCCAATATCACATGTCCATCAAGACTAACCATTTTAATTTAAATTAAAACATTTCTGGAAGACAAATGCAATTGATAGAAAATATAAAAACTTTTGCTGTACAAATTTTACATCACATTCAAAGTAAGCAAACACATGTGTGCTTCGTGGCCGCAGAAGACGCTAGGTGCACGCACAGATGACTTCCTGGCTAGTGCTGCAGCACAGCATGGCTGTCCCACCCCAGCCTGTCACTACAGAGCAACACAGGCCAACAAGACGACAACAGCCCAGGCCGTTGATGTGGTTCGTTAGAGCAGCCAGACTGACACTAGCTGGGATTCGCTGCTTGCCACTCTGATGGGAAAAGGCCTCCTTAGGGGCTGAGGCTGGGAACTCCGAGTGCCTGAAAAGGGGCCAAAGTCTTTGCTGTACTTGCATGCTTCAGGTGGCCAGGCCCTCTGCAGCTCGAGCCCTTTTCATTGCCTTCACGGGGGCTATGGGGACTGAATTCACAGTATCCGTCATCCTTCATGTGTTTCCTGGGACAGCACATAGGAGGCACGCTTTCCTAACCTCAATTCACAGTCACTCAAGTCGGAAAGGAAGCGGGGACTATGGTGGGGACTCTCTTAAGTGCAGCGCAGAGAGGCAGGCCTGGGAGAGGAAGGGGGACCAGCACTGCAGCCCCCAGCAGACTGGCCCCCAAGGATGGTCAGCTCCTCAGGACCGGGACCACGGCTGTTCCTGTCCACTCCCCAGCACACACATAGGACCGCACTCGCTGCGGGGTTCAAAGAGCGAGACCCAGGCTGCCAGTGGGCTGCGTGTGTGACACCTTCTGTGGTTTGGTGTCTAGGGATGACTGAAGGAGGTGACTCAGCTGCCGGTCTGGGGGCTCATGTTCTAGCTGTGAGGGGAGGCTGACATCACAATGTTCACAAAGTGCGGGAATGGCCAGAGGCTAGACGGTGTGGCCTCTGGGGGGCGCAGGTGTGAGGCTTTCGCGAGGCGGTGGCTACACTGTGTGGTTCTGGACTAGGCACGTCATGTCAAGGGCTGAGGTGGAAAGCCAAAGGGATGGGAAATGACTCAACAGTCCCATTTCGGAGGATGTGTGACCCAGGCAGAGCTGAACACAGGCTTCATAGCTCTTCTGCCCCACACTGAGGCAGGGTCACGCTGCTACTGTCCCAGCTGCCTGAACTGTGCTGGGGGGAGGGGGGCGGGTAAGGACAGTCCCACATCTCCTCAGAGAGTGGCCTGTTTTGAGAGACACCTGACCGGATTCAGGTGCCAGGGAACACTGAAAACCGAGGCTTTCCTCGGGGGTTTAACTGAGAGGGAGCTCTGTGGCCACGCCACAGCAGGATCTAAGCCAGAATCCAACGGCTTCTCCACTCCCGCTTCTTTCCTCCTCTGGTTGTGGCGCTGCATGCTGCCTACCCTCCGCTCTACAGCTGACAGTTTCTGTGGAGCATGTCTGAGTTACCCCAGTCCAGCCCCTTCTGCTCCTTGGAATGAACAAGCTGAAGTCTGAGGCTCAAAGACAGGAGCTTATCTAGCTAAGGTGCCTGGATGGCCTCACGCCCCCACCTGAGCTCAGAGCACACATGGGGATCAGAATGACCTAAAGGTTTCAGTGACGGGGGAAGGAGGTGGTGGTAGGGCTAGAGCCTTCTGGTATGACAAACAATGGGTTCTACGGCGCTAGGGCACTGCAGGCCACCTCTGCCACCTTCCCTGTTCTCCTCAACCAGGAGCCCATTGTCCACACAGCTGATGGGCTAGCTCTTGGTTCTGGGGGTGAAGATGGTGCCCTGGGGGGTTGTCTGATGATAGAGGCTGAGTTCCACAACCTTCATGCCCTCCTGGAGGCCTCAGAAGCAGCGGATGCCTCTACAGATGCGTGGCTGCTTCCTCCCCCTGTGGTACAAGACGGGCTAAGAGCATCAGATCCACCGAGAAGCCACATGGATTCTGTGTGTACCTTACTTAGCCCAGGCCTAGATCAGAGCGGAAACCGAAGCCAAGCTCTCCAGGAACTCCTGACCCCCATAATCCAGATGGGTTTCTCACCGGGGTTTCCTTTGTAAGCTAAGGGAGGGCTGGTGCTCCTCACAGGACAAACAGAGGAACCAGTGGGGGTCAGGGCCCAAGCGCAGACCAGGGCAAACCTCCTGCCATGTTCCCCTTTCCCAGAACAGCCACATCCATGCTGCTTGTCTTCCTTCAGGCTCAACTCTGCACGCTCCCCCCCCCCCCACTGCTCCAGGGTCTCCGAAAGGTCAGGGGGAGCACTTCTGCTTCTCCGCAGTGCCAGCACCCTCCTGAAGAATTATTATTACCGACTGTGAAACACCACGCTTGCCGGGGAGAAACCTCTGTGTAAACACTGGCTGTAGTGGTGTCCCCTTAGAGTGGCACACGTGGCTCCAGTCCGGAGCCCCACACACCTTCATAATGCACATTTCTCACGGAGAACACTCCTAGTCTGCAGCTCGGGATGCAGCAGGGCTTCTCTCACTCCGAGCGGTGGTGGTTTGCATGTCTCGCAACCAGTTTCAGAAAGGAAGACATGCTCTGCACGGACCTGCGTGGCTGGCTACATCTTTGGATTGCTGGATTCCAGGGACCCCAGGCCAAACCTTTCAAAGCGGGGCATGACTTTGCTGCTGTTAATGCTGCAAAGAGGAGCAGAGATGTGGGTTATGGTTCTGCTGGTCCTGCCCGGAGTCAGGGTGTCCCTGGCTGAGCTCAGCAGAGGACCTGAGTGATGACAACCGCTCGGTCCATGGTCTTGGCACAGCTGCTCCTGGCCACCCTGAGTCGTGGGCCTCGGTCACATCCCCTGCCTGGCAGGGATAAGGGGAAAACAGTGACATGGCTTGTTTGCCTGACTTGCCCGCACCCAGCATGGCAGTAGCCGATGTGGGCTCACGGACGGTGTTTCCTCACTGCCTGCTCCGTGTGGATGTGCAACTGGGTGAGAGAGATCTGAGGATCAGCGCCTGAGGACCAAGGATGTCACAGAAATGGTACTCATGTGGGGTTCGCTGGGTTCACTATGGGCCAGAATCCTGAGCCTGACTGCAGAAATCTGGTCAGGGACACGGAACCCCTAACAGATGTGACAGCAGCTCTGCCTCCATTACTGAGCTCTGGTGACAACAAGAGCTATCAGGTATCACTTTGTTTAGAACATTTTTGAGTGTGGCTCCTAAGAACCCAGTCCCTTCTGAAGTGATGCCTTTCCCAGCAGCACGATTCCTGTGTGTGTGTGTGTGTGTCTACTATCCTTCATCTTTGAGAGAGAGGGACTCCAGACAGGGCCCACGACCTCACTGCTGGCGCCGAGCAGCTCTGAACCATGACACTCCTTGCAGGACAATGTCCCGGGGTCACCAAGCTCCTCCCTGTCCTGAGCATGCTCAGCAGGGGCTAGTGAAGGTGTTAGTAGGGGCTAGGGACCAGAGGAACACAAGCAAGAGCCACTCTTGGGAGAACGAGAGAGAAAAGACCGTCTCATCCATGAGGACAGCTGAAAGCTGTTCTTCCACCTTGAGGGGTCACCCGGTTAGTGCCATCCTCCCCTGGCAGCGACGCAAGTCAGGCACCCATGGGCCACGTGGAGGGGAGGGGCCGTTGTTAAAAACAGAACACAAGGAGACTGGAGCAGCAGAGGTGGATCCCTGGGTTAGTGCCCGCTGGTTTTGAGTCTTAGCAGAAGTCACGGAGCTGAGTTGGCGATTAGGAGGAACGAAGCCCTGGGGCATGCAAGACAGCCAGGCCTACAACCTACAGACAGAGGAGACAGTGGGGTCAGAACCTGAGCCTAAAGAGCCAGGACACAGGGCTTGGCCAGAGCAGCTGCCCAGGAATCCATGTGCCCATAGAGAATAGGACCCCCACGCCACCCCTCAGAATGACAGGGGGCAAATCTGACAGCTGGTGTGGGCACAGGGAAGCTCTCCCAAGTTCCCACAGGGCAGTTACAGGCACCCCAAGGTTCCCTGTGGCCACCAAACTGGCGTCTGAGAGCTCACCCCGGCTGGCTCCCCTGATTCTTTCCCTTCCTCCCTCAGCATTTATCATCACTATTACTGTTACTAACATTTCTAGTGCTGCGGCCCATGCCCCAGCCTCACACATACTAAGCAAGAACTCCACCAGTGAGTCACAGCCCTAGCCATTCATTGCTTCTTTTTTGTCTCTCCTGGCACTCACTCTGTAGACCAGGTTGTCCTCGAACTCAGAGAGCCACCTGCCTCTGCCTCCCGAGCGCTGGGATTAAAGGTGCGCATGTGTGCGTCACTTCGCCCAGCTGTCTGCCATTTGGTGCTTTTACTTCTGAGGTTTCACTATGTATTCCAGGCTAGACTCAAACTTAAAATCCCCCCCGCCTCAGCTTCCTGGATTCTGGGATGACAGACAACTGGCTCACTGGATTCTCTTCTTTGGTGCTCTGGCCAGAAGTGGGATTTGGGGGACTAGGGTCAATGAGCTGAGACCTCCTCACCCACATGCTAGCTCAGGTGTTATGGCAAGCGGCCCTGCCTGCCACACACTGTGGTTTCTCTAACCCTCTGTGAGAAACACAAGCCCAGTGGCCCCTGCTGGAGGCCATTTTAGCTGTGGGAGGTCACTGTGGGTTATGGGAATCAAAGCATGGATATGAGAAGCTGGCATGCAGAGACAGGAGGGAAAGGGTAAGTGGGCAACGGGACAGCCACACACAGGCAGGAAACAAAAGAAGTGACAAACACACTATTCCTCCAGGACTGGACAGGAGCTCTTAAAGTCAGGGTGACCATAGCGTCCTTTCCCGTAGTAGCGGCTCCGCCAGCGGCTGGGGGTGGCCGAGACCATTTCAGCAGCAGTTGAAGAGAGCCGTCCAATCCGGTCAGGCCCGGCGGGTGACAGCAGACAGGTGGAGGAGTCAGGACGGTGGAAGAGGGGAGATGACAAGACAGGCCATGTATCCGCCACCCCCCCGAAAACGAAAAGCGACAAAGCCAATGGGAAGGAAAAGAGAAAGTGAGAGTCAGAGACCCTGAGTCTAAAGAAGCACGGACCAGAAACACAGAGCTCACAGGCTCATCCCAGCTGTCACGGAAGCTGTGGCCTGGTAACAGCCCCTACTGGTGGACTCAGTTTCCCACCTGTGAGGGGAGAAGGTGGGGCTGACTGGGTTCCAGGAACAGGAGTCATCGCTGAATGCCAGTGCCTGCCCGGCGCAAACATGGCTTGGTAGAGAAGGAAGCCTGTACTGAGAGGGCCCAAAAGCTCATCCTCGGGGCCTCGACACCCCTCCTCCACTGCTAGTGCCAGCACCTCACCTGGCAGGCTCTCGGGATTTACCACCTGACACTTCTTGGCACAGTTTGTGCACTCTGGCTCTCCTCTCTCCCTGCCGTGGAAACTGAGGCGCATGAGAAGGCCCCAGACCCTGAGAAAAGGTTGTGGCTGGAGAGGGGTCTTTTGGGAGAGGAAGCCAGAGAGCCAAAGTAGAGACAGAGCAGGACAGAATACAGAGGAGATGAGAGTAGCCTCTGCTGCTCTGCGCCTCAGGGCACAAAGGCCCACGAGGGGGAAAGACTTCTGACAGAGCCACACAGCTCAGTGGCGTGACCCACTAATGGGTGGCAATGTTCAATGCTCAACAGTTCAGCGACTAAGTGGGTATCAGCCTAGGCAATACTGATGGTTGGGGGTTCATTTGGTACCTGTGTGGTCCTGACCTCTGACCCCTTCTCTCACCCTGGCCTACCCCGGGCTTGTCAGTGATGGTCTAATACAGTGTAGATTTCCACAGGTGGAAACCGGAGGCGCTCGCCTGTTATAGGGCGCCTCTAACACCAACTGGGTAGAGGAGAATCCTTCAGCTCTGCTCTGTGGAGGCCTCAGACCGCAGTCTGATGTGGGTCCAGCAGAGGGAGGCGCCCTCAGACATTCTAGACAGACACCCCAGGGTCTGACGGCAGGTGTGGCTCCTGGAGGGAGGACTTACTCAGCGGACTTCCAGAAGTGCCCGGGGTGGGAGAGGCGCCGGTTCAGCTTGGGCAGCTTCTCCAGCATGTCCATCAGCTGGCCAAAGCCGGGTCTCTCCTGCAGGTCGAAAGCCCAGCAGGCAGACAGGATCTCCTGCAGAGAGCACTGCGGTTGGTGGGGTGTGGGTGGCTGGGGAGTGAGGCACATGGGTAGGACAATTCATAAGGGTCCGAGTGCCCGGCACATCTGTGGACTTTGCAGAACCCTGGGAGGCGGTTCAGATGAGCCGCCAACCTTCCAGGTCAAAAATGCAAGGTTCTCGGAATGTATATAGAATGGGGCTGCCACAAGGGGGCGCCTCGGTGTTACTGGGTGGAGACTGGACAGGTACATGCAGGAGCCGCAGCTGAGAACCCTCAGGACAGCTGCCGTGGCAGAAGGGAGGCTTTCTTCTCAAGGTCCCCTCAGCCCCACAGCACCCTCTGCAGCCTGGACCCCCGGGAGGGTGGCCTGCGCACGTGGCCGACACACGGCATGCGCACCCTGAGACTTTTGTTCTTAACTGTAATGACCCCTGTGCCTGCCTCACTGGGAAAGCCAGAGACCCTGGCTGTGGTCCTTCTCAGATGGGTGAGTGGAGGGCTGTCATGTCACACATCCAGCCCAGGCTTGTCCCCGATTCCCTCTACTCACGCCGACTTCCTTCCCCAGGCTGACGGATGCCAGGACGCGCCTCACTCCTTCCCCACTTCCAATCTGCCAGATCAAGGCCTCTGCGGGCTGGTGTTTAAAGGGCCAGTCTCGCGCCTGTAGTTCATACCACACAGTCCTGTGGAGACACAGCACAGCGTGAGCTACGGGAGCTTCACAAATCCCTGAAGGCGATTCTAGGGCTCACCCACATTAGGAGCCAGAGACAAAAGGTCAAAGACACAGTCACTCCGCCAGCAGGCAGCTCAGCCATGACTTTCCATGGCACGCCTCCCAGCCCGGGGGCCAGCAGAGCCTTCTCTCCTGCACTTGCCAGCCGGTGGCCCACTCACCCGAAGGCGTAGACGTCAGCGGCTTTGGAGAAGGGCAGCTGGTCCTCATCCCTCCCGGGGATCATTTCTCGCACAATCTCGGGGGCCAGGTAGCACAGCCAGTCATGGGACAGCTTCAGTTGGTTCTCACGTCTGGAGGCCAGGACAAGGACACGGGCCCCTCAGTGGGGAGCAGGGGGCCTGGCTGGATACACCTGCACCCGCTCACATGTGACGCACTGACAGCCTAGAGGGGGGCATGGAGGGCTTGCCTTTGAACAGGCTGGGCGCTTCTAGGGAAGGGAGGCCGCAGCTGGGAAAGGCATGGAGCTGCTGGTGGCAGGGTTTGAGGCCCTGTGCTTGGAGAGCTGCTGCTCTGTGTCTAGAACCTCAGGCCGCCTGCAGATGGCAAACCTGAATGCAGACTCGCTGGCCTGTTACTCTTCCTTGAGCCTCCAGCCCCACCCCCATTTCTTAGGGAGGGGCTTTTCTTGCCACCCCAACTCCTTTACAACCACGTAAATAAAAGCCAATGTTCTTTCTCGTCAAGGGGGTATAAGCCCAGGCCCTCACCCATCACTGAGTAGCCAAGCTGAGCGTGAGCCAGGGGACTCGGCCTCCACGAGCGCCCACCTGGAAATCAAGCACCATGAGGGACCTAACACCACCCAGACCCAACTCTGGACTGAAGCCGCATGGGCAGAACCACAGCTGACTCACCCTAGCCTGTGCAGGGAAGGCTCTCCCCGGCAACACAGCCAAGGGTGCTCCACATCCACAGAGTGTCCCAAGCTCCCCCGACCCACACAGACACCACGGCCGGCTCACCGTTCCTCTCGCACCACGCCCGAGATCCCAAACAATCCGAAGTCTGTGATGACCACTTTGCCATTGTCATAAAAGACGTTCTTGGACTTGAGGTCTTTGTGCACGATGCCCTTGGCGTGGAGGTAGCCCATGCCCTGGAAGACAGCCGACCTTGCGTCAGGGGATGGGGATGCTAAGAGATGGAAGCTGAGCTTTAATCGGGGAGAGGCGCATCATCCATCCCCCCAGCCAGTCTTTAGACAGACAGCAGGCAGAAGGGTACCGTCCTGAGCTTACAGATGAAGCAACGCAGGCCCAGAGAGGGCAAGCGCGCCTCAAAGCACACAGCAGTTAGCCACGGAGCTCAGATCTGCCCTGCCTCCAGTTCCTGCTTTCTGTGTCACTCTGCAGCAGACTCAGGTGAGGTGTAAGGTGGGGACAGGGTGACTGGCAGTGAAACAGGCTAGAGAGAGCTCTTCGGAAGAGTGCGTGCTTAGCAGGCACATGGGCCTGCACACTGCAGATTCTGGAATCATCGCTCAGGGCTGGGGAGACAGCTCAGTGGTTAGGCGCCCTTCTTTCTCTTTCAGAGGACCAGAGCTTGGTGTGCAGCACCTACATAGCAGCTCACAACTATCTGGCCAAGGAACCTCCAAGGGACCCAGTGCCCATTTCTGGCCTCTGTGGCACATACCTGCACATACACATACACACACACACACACAGAGACACAGACAGAGACAGAGAGAGACATAGAGAGGAAGAGAAAGAAGGAAAGAAGAAGAGGGGAATGGGAAGAGAGGGAGGGAGAGAGAGAGAGGGAGAGAAAAAGAGAGAGAGACAGAAACAAAATTCTAGAAAAAGACATCTGGGCTGGGGTCTAAGGGGAATGAATGAGCTGGGCTCTGCTCTTAGGCAAGGCACCACTCAGGGCAGGCAACAGGGACATTACTAGGATGCGATCTAAAGCTCAGCTGTTCCCAACACAGTCGTTATGGTAGCAGGAGCCCCAGATGAAGCATGAAGTCTGAGTTCCACGCTCCATCTCCACGCAGGCGAGCACTGTGACCTTGGGCACCGTGATGGCCTCTCCGACCATCAGGTAAAGTGTGGTGGTGGGTGACCCCACCAGCGTGTGCTCTGGCCTGACCATTCAGGCGCACAGGGCCCGTGGCTGACAATGATGTCATTAAGGCCACAGCTGCTAAACAGGAAGCCCCACCTTCTCTCCTGGAGGTCCCTCATGCTGTCACAACTGGAAAGGCCTGTCTAGCTGCAGACCCATCTCCCAGCTTCCACATGAGGGTACTCAGTACTCTCCCAGAAGTGCCCCTGGCCCCTTTCAGGAAACCTTATCAGCCACAAGACAGAAACCTGGGAGTCTCAGAAGAGAGCTTAACCCAAGCTGACTCCACTCTGAGAAGCAAGAGGATGTGAGGCCTGAGACCTCCCCTCAGGCCTGTCTTCCTGTGAGAGGCAGGGCACAGGCCTTTCCTAGGTGCCAGAATGCCAGATGCCACAGTAGGCTGACTAAGGACCAGTATTTGTCTCCCTCTTGAGGCTTCCCTCACACTGTAGGCATTGAGGGGGCCTGGCAGGTTACACTTGTAATCCCAGCCCTAGAGAGGTGGAGGCAGAGTTTAAGGCCATGCTCAGCTACATAGTGACGCTGAGGATAGCCTAGGCTACATGAATCCCTGCCACAAAACAAAATTAAACCACCCAAATAAACGAAAGCCAGGTGTGACAGCTGGAAAGGGCCAGGTTGAAGAGAAGAGTCTTAGCCATCAGTCCTTTCCCAGGGTTCCCTGGGCTCTCCATGGCAAACCCTCTCACTAGAGGTCCGGTCCCTCTGCTCTACTTCTGACTCTCAAAGCATCTCGGAAAGAATGTGCATGTGAGGGGTAGAGGGGTGCAGGGGAAAGAGGAGGGGTTTCGCAGGAAGGAAACAGAGGAAACAGGAGCGAGAGGTAGTGGCCAGAGGCAGCTCTAGCCTTCTAGTCACTTTTCTCCTGGGCCCTGGAAGTGGCCACCCTGGCCACCAATGGCTCCCAGTTCTGAGGGAGGAGGGGAAGTGAGGAGGGGTAGAATTTGTGTGTGGGGGGGGGGGGGGATGTTGGGGAGGTGATGCTGAATCCTTGCTGAAAGACTGGATCACACTGGGGGCAGAGATGACTTGGGGTTTTGGTCTTGGAGGTTCGTTTGTACGTGTGTCCATGGGAAAGGGGCAGACTGAAATTCTGGTTTGTCCCCAAATGCCACAGTGGTTATCTTTTTCTTTCTAAAGACATCCATACACACAAAACGGCCCAGAGAAGAGGAGAAGGAAAAGCAGGAGGGATGGGGAGGGCTCAGAAGGGAAGGAAGGTCAGAGACGACAAACCAAAGCACAGCTGTAGGGGGCAGCTCTTCTCTGACGGGGTTTCATGTAGCCCAGGCTAGCTTTGCACTTGCCTGGTAGGCGAGGATGACCTTGAACTTCTGATCCTCCTGTCTCCACCTCCCATATGGAGATTACAGTTGTATGTCACGTGCCTGGCTTGTGGACTGAAGCCATGGCTTTGTGCATGCTAGCTCTGCCAACTGAGCTATACCCCTGCCTAAAAGACTGTAGCGTTTCAGCACAGACAGGTCCTCTGCAAGAGTGGCCAGTGCTCTTAACCACTGAGCTGCCTCTCCAGCCCTCCTAATAGTTTGTATAAGCACTGAGTGCAAGGCTCACAGTGGAAAAGAGCTGCCTTTGTTGGACAAAAGGGCTCTCAGGAAGCCTGGATTTGGAAAAAGTGGGGGTCTTTTCATGTCATGAGGTGAAACATTCTGCTCTCCACTGCTGGTGCTAAGAAAACCTCAGCAAGAACCAGCTTCATGCCAACAGAGCTCATTCTGTCTCCGTTCTGACCTAATCAAGGAGGCCGTGTTGGTATTTACAGGGGATGACACGGAGGCTCAGAGACTCCCCCGCCCTGTCACACAGCGAGAGTGACAACTGTCTTTAGAGCGAGCAGTGTTTCTTCCCAGCTAATTCAGTTCTATTAACGGCAGCTGAGTAGAAAGCTCTGGATGGAGTGGATGAGACAGGGCCCCAGGCAGGGGTGCCCCAGCTGGGAGACACAGGCAGCTACGGCCTGGGGAAGGGCCGAGAGCTCTGGAGGCAGCCGGAGCCCCCAGCCCATCTTTACCTTGATGATCTCCTGGGCAATCTGCCTCGTCTTGTTGATGTCCAGAGACGTCTTGGGGTCCCTCACGAATGAGTGCAATGTCCGTCCCTTGCAGAAGCTGTTGAGGGTAGTGGGGATGGGTAAGAGGCCTGGAGCTGGGACAGGCTGGCTCTACCCCACAGGACCTCGGAGGGGAATTGTGCCCACCTGCTTCTGGAAGGTTCTCCATCTCAAACAGCAAAAGCCAAAGAACACGGGTCCTTTAAACAAGACTCCTGCTGGAGCCCAGCTACACAAGCACGCATGCACACACACACACACACACACACACACACACACACACACACACACCTATTCCTGGAGATTCGGGGCCTGGCAGCCCCCCCTGCACAGGGAAACGGCTCGTCCGCACACCCAGCCATGTAAGGCAGCCCATCTTCTAAAGGGTCAAGGTGGGACACAAGCCAGACAGGAGAGCTCAGACAGGGAAAACTCAGCCTCCATGACTCTCAATGGGCCACTCCGAGTCTCTGGGACTCACCACAAAGATTATAATTTTTGTTATTTTTAGATGCCAGGGCATTGCATCCCGTGGATAACTGTCTGTTGTTCCTCTCTGTTAGCCCTTTCACAGGCTCTTCTGGAACTGGAGGCTTGGGTGAGGATGGCTGGCAGAGGAGGCTGCTGAGCCAGGGTGCCCATAGCCTCCCTGCAGGCTCCCTGTCCTGCTTTAAGCTGGAATTTTACAGAATGGGTCAGGGCACTCTTGTGATCTGACACTGGTCACGAGTTCTTGATCTCTGAGAAAAATGGCAAATTCTACTCATTCATTGCATTAAGAAAAAAAAAAATGGGGCTAGAGAGATGGGTCAGAGGTTAAGAGCACTGGCTGTTCTTCTAGAGGTCCCGAGTTCAATACCAGCAACCACATGGTGGCTCACAACCATCTATAATGAGATCTGGTGCCCTCTTCTGGTATGCAGGTGTACATGCAGGCAGAATACTGTATACATAATAAATAAATTAATTAATAAATCTTTAAAAAATGTTTATTTATTTTGGGAATGGCTGGCTTGCTTCCCCCAAAGCACAGTGTCCAGGTCCAGGGCACCTCACGTTGTTGAGGGTTCTCCTGGCTTCATGGAATGGCGGAAGAGGAGTTTGGTCCCAGCACCCACTTAAAAAGCTAAGTGTCAAACTGGGCATGATGGTGTAAGCTTTTATTCTCAGCACCCAGGAGGCAGTGGCAGGGTGAATCTGAGATTGGGGCCAGCCTGGCCTACACAGTGAGTTCCAGGGCAGCCCAGGCTCTACCGAGGGACCAGCTGTGTGTGTGGTCGCATGTGATAGCCCGTGCCCCACCACCACCTGTAAACACCACTGCTGGGATCTGAACTCAGGTCCTCAAGCTTCCACAGGTGTCCTTACCCACCAAGCCCTCTCCCCAGCCCCTTGGTCTGATTGTAACAGTCAACAGTGTAAATGGCACAGACAACTGTTTCTGTGTCTGGGGAAGGTCACTGTCTTCCACAGAGAATGACAAGTGAGTCACAGAATGCCTCCTGGAGGAAAAACAGGCAACGCACATCAAGACCAAAACGTCAGCACTGGGGCGTGGCTCAGCAAAGCCCTCGTCGAATGAGCACGGGACCACCCCACAGCAACACACGCACACCCAGGTAGGCCTCAGGCCTACAATCAACCGACAGAAGTAAAATGCGAACCAGCGTCATCTTAGTTATGCACTTTTAAATTAAAGTACACGTGTTTACTTATTTTCATATGTGTGTGCGCGCACGTGCGCAGCATGCCTGTGGAGGTCGGAGGACAGCTGTGGGACTCAGTTCTCTCTCGCTACGGGTTCTGGGAACTGAGATCAGTTGTCAGGCTTGTGCAGCAAGCGGAGCCGTCTCGCTGGCCCCCAACCTGCTGCTTTATTTTCACAAAAGGAATATGGAGGTTAGCCACAGTTTCGTGGGGAGAAGCGTCCAGGTGTGAGCATGGCTTGCTTTGTGTCTTTTACAGAACACAGGATTTTCTTTATGCTCAGAGGGCTCTATTTATTATTATTATTATCATTATCATTGAGGGGAGACAGGGTCTTGCTATGTAGCCCAGGTTATTTTTTATTTTTATTTTTTAAGTTTTTTGTTTGTTTGTTTGTTTTTGTTTTTTTCTCTAGTGTTTTTGAGACAGGATTTCTCTGTGTAGCTCTGGCTGTCCTGGACTCACTTTGTTGATCAGGCTGGCCTCGAACTCACAGGGATCTGCCTGCCTGAATGCTGCACCCAGCTAGCACAGGCTATCTTAAACTCAAGATTCTCCTGCCTCAGCCTCGATGTGCGAGCACGACAGGTGCTACTGAGCCCTGATGTTTGGCTTTCTTCTTCCTCTCTCTGGTGAGCCTTCCTCACACTTCGGGGCACCCCCAGACTGCAGGAGCTTGTGGGCGAGGTGGGGTGCTTACCTGGTGATGATGGCCAGGTGGGGTGGGTTCATGCAGGCCCCCATGAAGAGCACCACGTTCTCATGCCGGGTCTGCCGGTAGTTCATCACCTCCTTCTTGAACAGCTTCAGGTGGTCCTGGTTGTGGCCGTCCATCTCCAGCAGCCGAATGGCCACCTCTCCGTGCCATCGGCCTCGGTGCACCCGGCCCCAGCGGCCCTGCCCGATGGGCTCACCCAGTTCCACCTGTTCAAAGGGGATGTCCCACTCCTGCAGGTACACGCTGGTCTGGCTGGCTTTTCGGGAGATGGGGCCCCGCCAGGGCCGACGGGAGCTGGGGAGGTCATCCACCTCGTCGTCATCATCTTCTGCCTCAGACTTGACAGCCTCGGGCTCCTCCGCCTGAGAGAACAGGGTTGAACAGAGAGGGTGTGAGTCTGGGTCTTCTCTTCCTGGAGTTTACGCGGCTGTGATAGCATTCTAAGCCGCGCACTCTGCAGTCCTAGGCTCAGTTCACATTTCCGTCTGAAGGTCAAGACACTGGCTTTTCTTTTTAACACAAGGTCTCATGTAGCCCAGGCTAGCCTCCAACTTGCTATGTAGCTGAGGATGGCTTTGAACTTCAGATCCTCCTGCCTCCATGTCCTCAAGGGCCTTGATAACCACAGCTGGCTAAGCTGAAGGCGGTAGTCCTTGGCACAGATCAGAACCGCCTGTCAAACTCTGAGACCACAGAGATGCCTACCCCCACCTCAGGCTGACTGAGTTAGCTCTCAGGCCAGGGCCCAGGTCTGTGGGCTGGGAGAGAGAGACAGAGTTATTCTCCTGTAAAGACAGGAGACTAAAGGGGTTCTTTCAGCTAGCCACAGCTTGCTAGCTTGTACTTTACAGCATTCTTCCCGGCTGCGCACACCTACCCATACCGGCTGCAACAGGCTCTGCACCCTAAGCCTCCACGGCCCCCACCTATGGCCCCCACCGACCCAGAGCCCTGGAAAGAGAGGCCATCTATCTACCCTGGGCCTCATGCACGTCGCTCCCACTTACCTCTGCCTCGTGCACACCCTGCACGGCTGCTTTGGGCTGGTCGTCGAGCCTAAGAGTGAAAAGGGCTTTGTCAAGGAGATCCTGGGCTGGGCTGGGAGGCCCTCGGTAAGACAGCTCGGACGCTGTGGACACCATCAGAAGGCTGACTGGAGGCAGCGAGGAGGAGGGCTGGGCGTTTGCCACCCTGGCCCGTGCAGCATGGGGGGCAGGTCCCCACACCCCTGACTCTGGGACCTGGCTGGCAGCTCCTTGTTAGGTGAGCTTGTGCGATTAGCTTCTCTGAGTGGCTGCACCTTCTGGGAGACCAACTTCACTGGCTGAGAACTGGGGGACCAGGTGCCAAGCGTGCAAGGGAACATAATCGAGACGGGATGCAGAGAGAGGAGTCATGTTCTGCAGGTCTCTGGTCACCCTCCCAGGCCACAAGCCTGCTGCCTTTGGATACACAGCTCCACCCCGTGCTCACTGCACTGACAGGAGGCGAATCGACCCCCGGGCTCAGGGGATGAGTCGGCCTCGTTCTCTTCCAGGCTGGCCCAGAACCAGAGGGTCAGATATTTAGGGGCGGGTGGGAGGTGGCTGAGGAGGGTTCGTACCGTGTACTGTCGGCTGTGCTGGAGAGCGAGGCTGCCTGAGGACAGGCTGAAATGTCTGTAGGAGACAGAACAGGAGCAAAGTGTGAGAGAGCTTTCCTTCACCCCCAAAGACCAGCACACCAGGGCCACCCCCCTCCTGAGCTGCAGCTGCTCCTCAGGCCACTCCCACCGGAATCGGCCGACACGAACTGTCTCCGCAGCCTTGGTCTATGTGGCTGCCCAGGCAGAGGCTCCAGAGAGACCCCAACAATCCACACCATTGTCCTGGGCCCAAATGACTCCACAAGTGGCAAAAGCTGAGCCTGCCACCTCCACAGAGGATCCTTCTGGGAGGAAGCAGGGATGGCTGCCTTTTTTTAAAAGCAGGGACACCGTTTGCCTAGCTTGTGGCAGAGCCGGCAGCTCTGGTGTAGCTGCTGGTCCCCTGACTGGGTGGCCGGTGTCATAGCTCTGGGTAAGGAGAGGAAATTCAGCCTGCACCAGGAGGCTCCGGGCTGGGCGGCGGAGGCCCACCCTGGACCCTAGGCGGTCTAGCTGGAACACTATCCTCTAGGCTAACCAGAGAAAGACGGTCGTCTTCCTCCCTCCCAAAGTGCGACCAAAGTGCTACTAGAGAGGTGGCAGGGGTCAGCGCTCCGCCCTCCCAACGAAGAGAATCAGGAAATGGAAACAGCTCACGCTATCAGTGGCCCCTTTCCGGCCCTGGACAAAGACCTTCCCCCTCAGCCCTCGGGGGGCTTTTTCTCAGTGGAACCAGACTCTGACAGAAGCTGTGGGCCTTCGTCGTAACAGGGCATGCACAGTTGCGCCCGACATCCTGGGCAGTGCTATGTGTGTTTGTGTGTGTGTTACATGTATGTGGGCCTCAGAAACACGGGCTACGGCCTCTCCAGCCACTGCCACAGGCCTCCAGACATGCTCAGGCCACTCCAGAAGCTATACACGCCTCACATGAGGTGTAGGGAGTGGAGCTGTGGGCAGGTGTCTGGGAACCCCCACACTTGGCCTTGAAAGTTACGGGTTCACTGTGTATTCTGTTCCCGTGTGCCCCTGTTAGTGCGTGCAGCCCCACCCCCGCCTGCAGGGCCAAACAGGCCATTCAGGAAGAAGTGCTGGGGTTCCCCAGGTGGAGGGGAGACACTAGTGGACACATCCTAGAGCTGGTGACTGAGGGGGCTCTTGGGAGGTGGGGAAATCTCACAAAAGAGGCAGATCCTCCAAGCCCCCGGCAGTCTACTTACATATCTGAGAAGAGTTACAGGGATAAGGGCTACAAAACGCTCCAACCCAACTCCTGAGTGGAGTTGATCTGGGGGTGAGGGGGAGGGAGCGTAGCAAAGCCTGGAATAACCAAAAATACTGGTGCTTCCAGTCTTGGCAAATCAGACAAAAGACGATTAGAGTCCCACCGTGTTGGGTACTTCCAGGGGGAGGAGAAAAGCTTTGATCTTCTACAGCCCAAAGGGGAAGGGGGTGGTCAAATGCAAGAGGTGTGCAAAAGTAGTTTTTGTAGAAGGGAACCCAGGGGTTTGCCGCATTGAAAGTTTTCCCTTCAAACTTGCGGCAGGGAGGAGGTAGTTCCAGTGACGACCAGTAGGTGGCACTGTGTATTAAAGGCTGGGAAGGACAAAGCCACCTGACAGGTGATGGTGAGCCCAAATTGGCTTTCCCTTGTCAGGCATCCTCGGCGAGTAGCCACCCCCACCCCCTCATTCTGAGTTCTCATCCTTCTTCTGTCACCTCCTAGCCATGTGAGCTCGACCCAGTTCCCCGCAGTCTCTCTCAGCAAGAGGTTGGACAGGATGGACTCCAGGGTCCCATCCTGCCCACACAAGGGTCCACACCTCAGGGATTTCTCGCCCTCTTGCCCAGCTGCAGCGGGGAGGAAGAGCCAGGCAGGGTGGACGGAGGGTCACAGCAAGGGGTGGTTAGCGGAGCCACACAGGGAGACTCACCTGGGAAGATAAACTGCTGTCTATGATGAATGAAGTAGGCAGCTTTAAACAGAAGAGGAGGTGAGTCAGTGCAGAGGCAGCGCGGGAGGGGGTGTGGCCTGGGGGCAGGCCCGGGTTAGTGGCTTAGGCGGCCCTGCCCCAGGGCCTCTGGTGAGAAAAGGTGGAGTCATGCAGGAGACAGGACCCAAACTAGAAGAGAATCAGGGCGTGGCGAGCCCAGGGCTGGAGGGGCGGCACGGGAGATGGGGCATCTTGGCGGCTACTCTTGCTCAACAGTGCTGGCCTGAGCACACCGGGAAAAGCTTGGGCCAGCTTTGTTCTAGAAAACGCTCTCGAATGAGCCAAGAGGCTGAGGCAGAGTAGAGATAACACTGGCTTCGACAATGCTCGATGGTGTGTGCAGAGGGGCCACCTGTCCCTCACTCTGGCCCTACCCTGAAGCACCCTGACCCCACTGCCTGAGCTCTGGATCCTGCCAAGTGCTGAGACTCCACACAGGGGACCATGACAGGATACTTGCTTCGTGTTTTCGAGATGCTTGCTAGCTGGCCTAGGCTGGTTTCAAACACATAGGCTCCATCCTCCGGCCTTGTGAGTAGTTGGGACTCTAGCTGAGTCTAACCTCGGCTCTGCTCCATGAGGTCCCATAAGGCTCTGGGACCTGAGGAGGCAGTTAGCCTTACTGTAAGTGTGTGTGTGGGGGGGGGAATATAGAAGCTTGCCCAGGCTTGCCCGTGCAGCTCAGCTGTGAGGCTCCTGGATAGAACAGGTAGGTGGCAGGAGGGGTTCAAGTCCTTCTCTGTGGGCCCGTCCCAGCGCCCTAGGGATTCATTCACAAGTCCTCTAAGATCATGGAGAGGGTGAGGCTTCTGTGAGAGGGGCAATGGGGGGCTATCTCCCGCCTGGGTCATCAGTGTAAATGGACAGGGTCTGAGCTATATCATAAAAAAACATTTCCTGTGTCTCTTGTTTTTTCAAGCTGGCCCATCTTAGAGAAACCCAAACTAGATGGTTTAGCAAAAGAGACTTGCTCAGAGAATAAAGTCAGAGTGGAACAGGAAAGGCAGCTACTCCAGGGGCTTGTGGCTCAGCCGCAGGGTGGGGTGGGGTGCAGGACACAGCTTCACTGTTGAGAGCGCCCCAGACACGTGCATATTAAGTAAGGCACAAGAACAGAAGAGTCCTACCCTCAGGCCCTTTGCCACCCCTAAGAGGAGTCCCAAAGTCCCCGATGGGCCCAGAGGCTGCTTGGCCAGCTGCTGGGTCAGCGTGGGTCTTGGCAGTCAGGTGAGGGGTTGAGGGGTGTGAGGGCAATGTGTCCTTCTGGGCTTAGAGCTCCAGGGACCAGGGACGGGTCTGGACCCTGTGGGTTACAGCAAGCAGGGGCATTGTGGCCACAGTGTTCTCCTCTAGGGCTGTAAGCCATGTACACCCAGGGCTGAGGCTTGACACTCCTTGCCAAGGCAATAGCCCAGTGCCGTGTGGGTAAGTGGGCTTTGCTGTGCTCTTTGGAGACAGGGCAGCCCAGTGTGGCTGACCAGAACAGAAGGCAAGAAAGGACGCAATCCTGGCCTCTTCCCCACAGTTCCTGGGCACCTGGGTTGGGGCACAGAATCTGAGGGCAGCTGGGCTCAGCTCTGCTTCACCTGGTGCTCAGAGGAAACCACCTTACTCTAACTCTGCATGTCTCCAGGTGGCACATGAAGAAACATAAGGTCTTTTTTGGGAAGCCAGCTCCAGTCACAGAACTGGATATGCAACCGAGGCCCAATGCTCTTTTGTAGGTTTCTTGTTCCCTACTCCCTACTGTTTCTGTCACATTACCCTCGAGCTTAGATGGCATCTCTGAGAGAGGACGATGTTGGGCAGAAGCTACCATGGGCACAGGCTGGCAACCTAGGTCACCCCAAGAACCCAGGCTTTCTGCTAGGCAGACTTGGACCTGGCCCTGGCTCTGCCACTGTACAGCGCAGGGCGGCTGCTGCTCCTTTCTCAACCCCAGCATCCTCATCTGTGTGAAGGCCACAGGCGGCAGCATCGAGCCCACACTCAACAGGTGTTCTGCAGACTCAGCTCTCAGGGGAGGTGGGGGAGAGGATCTGAAGAGATCCCTAAGGACCCAGAAGAGCCCAAAGGTGTGGTACCTGGGAAGTTGAACCTGCTGTCCCGATGGCCAGGTGAGGGGTTGGGGGGCGTGGTGGCACTGGAGGGGTTAGACGAGGTCAGGAAGGGTGCCGGTGATGAGGGTGTGGAAGATGTGGTGGAGGATGGGTTGCTGCTGGAATCCAGGTTCATGGCTGGAGGGTGCTCCTGCAAGACCAGAGGAGACAGGATAGGAAGGGCTGCAAGCTCAATTCGGCAGCTGCCAGCCTGCTGAAGCCCTCCCTGCCCTCCCCTCCCCACCAATCATCTCCATGGGTGGAGGTCAAGAAAAAAGATCCTTGGAGCTCCATTCTGAAGGTCCAAGATTTTCTGGGATTACTTCATGAATGAAAGGGCACTTAGAGACCCTCCCTAATGAATTCCTGCCCATCTTTCTTACTGTAGTTCCTACTTCTCCCCAGAAGCCCACTGGAACCCTGCTTGAAACCGACTTTCCTCCTTGTGCTTTAATAGTGCACAGCATTTCTGCACCTAAATGTACATTTGTCAGCTGCAGACAGCCGGGGCTGGTTTGTGACAACCATCTCTCCAGTGCCCGCCGGCCCTGATCTGGGCACCCAGTTTCTTAAGGAACTGAATCTATACTCTGCAACATTTATGCCACTTCTGCTATGCGTCAGGCCCTTTGTAGGAAGCAGAGCGATGACAAGGCACCGAGTCTGTGGTTTTGTGTTCTTGTCCTAAAGTGCAAAGGGCTCTCGGAGAACCCACAAAATGCCGGAATGAGGCGAAGGCTTGGGCCAATGTTGTCTGCCATCTTGAAGGGTTAAGAATTTTAGAGCTGGGCACTGGGGCTGTGGCTCAGCTGGTGCGGTGATGGCCCCCAGCTTGGTTTTGATGCCAGCACTGCATAGTTGCAACAGCAGGAGGTAGAGGCAGGAGGATCAGAAGTTTAAAGTCAGCCTTGGCTACAAAGTGAGTTTGAAACCAGCCTGAACACATAAGACCTTGTCTCAAAATAAAGGGGAAAAAAGTCTCGAGCTAGGAGGAAATTTCTAAGAGACTCGAGGGACTGCAGAGGCAGGCCTGGTTCACATGTGTTGTCATGATTTATTAACACCATCTCCTTCGCAAGCGCACGCAGTCACCTAAATTAGATCAGGCTAGCCGGAGCTTGCCAACGGGTAGCTTGCTGGCTAGGGAATGACTTTGGGAGGAGGCCTCATGCCACAGCAGGTAAGATACTGGGCCAGAGCAGGGAGCACTGTCCTCTCCCTCATCCTCCGGGAGGCCCCCAATACACTACAGCTCCAATACTTGTCCAGATGCCTCTGGCAAAAGGCAGGCAGTAGGCTCAAACTTTACCCAGGCGTGGTTTCTAGTCAGGATGAAATGGCTTCTGGATTTGTAATGACATTTGAGTGTTCTACATATGTGTACATGTGTGAACACGTGTCTTCATGTGTGTGGAGGCCAGAGGTTGATCAGCACAGCTCTCTGCCTCTGCTTGCTTGGTATTTGGAATCACACGTGCACTGCCATGCCTGGCTTTTTGTTGTTTCATTTTTTGTTTTTTTAAAGACAGGGTCTCCCTATGTAGTCCTGGCTGACTTGAGACTTGCTGTGTAGATCAGGCTGGCCATGAACTCAGAGATCCACCTGGCTCAGCCTCCTGGGTGCTGGGATTAAAGGTGTTAAGCTTTTATGGCTCTCAGGCCTGGCTTTGTGTGGGGGTGCTAGGCATCGGAATCCAGGTCCTCATACTCATGTAGCAATCGCTTTATGAGCTGAGCCATCTCCCCAGCCCTGGTGACATTTATCAATTACCTTCTACCTATGAGAGGTGATTTTTCTAATGATGATGAGAAAATGGGGCTTTTGTAGTTATGACAATGAGGGTTACACACCAGTAGATTCTGGTCAGTAAGTAGGAGTGAGGACAGAGCCAGGTTGGCAGCGAGTCGGGATGTCCGGGGGAACCCCAGGGTCAGGGTGTGCACCTGCGAAGGAGGTCAGTGTGGCAGGGACTGGGGAGGAGGCTCAGGCTCAGCTCTGCTGCCTGAGGCTTTCTGTGATAGAGCCAGGGCTGAAGCAGGCTGACCGGGATTCCCACCAGGCTTCTATTGCTTCTTAGCTGACCTCCCTGAGCTTCCGTTTCCTTACCACACACTGGACAAGTCATCGCCTATGTCAGGGGGTTGCTGTGTGGATTTGCAGTAAAAAGAAGGCCAAGCATGCAGTATTCAGCAGCTGCCTAATGTTTGCTCAAGTCTCTTGTAGACCTGCTATCTTGAACCAAACAGTGCTTAGGATCCTGGTTTGAGACTCAACCAGGCCAAAAGGCCAAGAGGCCCAGAAGGTGTCTAGGGACACTCTGGGTTGGGTGGGCTGAAGATCTGGTCCAATGCCTTTATTTCCTGGGGCAGAAAGAAACCCCTTAGATAAGTCAGGGTCAGACCAGTTAGGGCCACGAATAACAAGTTTCTCTCTCAAGACCTGAAGGCTGGGGTGTGCAGTATACTCCAAAACTCGGAGCCGAAGTTAGCCTTGCTGGCCAAGATAGTGACCCTGACATGGTACCAGCTAAACATCACCCTCATTCCTTCTGCTCGAGCTCCTGAGGCTCTAGATCTACCCACCCCCAGAGTGGCCTGAGCAGGAGGAGGGGACTGTGGGCCACCAGAGCAGGCGGAGCTTCTCTGCACCTGTGTGGCCCTAGCTGCACGGCTGCCCACAGACGGGGCAGCAAGGGCCATGCTGCAGCCTGCTCATCCACTCAGGGACCCACACAAATGCTTCTGACTGTCTAGCATGTGCCAGGAGACACGGTGGATATAAAGGATGTGTAGGGAACAGCACTGCCCGGACCTCGGGGGCCATCTGTGCCAAAGGAAAGGGGAAGGCGGCTAAAGGAGGAATTAGAAATGGGACCCAGGAGCCCCATCCCAGGCCCCCATGCATGGAGCACTCTTGTCCCCATTCCACACCATCCGTGAACGAGGCGCCGAGAGGTCAAGTCACTCATTCAAGGTCACAGGCGCACAAAAGGGAACAGGGAAAAGTCACAGCCAGGCCTCAGGACCCCAGGGTCCATGCGCCCCTAAAAGTCAGTATGTTGAAACCCAGCACCCATGGTGCAGTGTTAGTGGGTAGGACCTGGGGGCTGCTCAGACCATCAGGATTGGGTCTTCACAGACAGGGTTGCTATCCACATCAAAGAGGCCGGGGGAATTTGCTGCGCCCTTCCGTTATGTGAGGACACAGCGAGGGACACCATGAGGAATGGGTTCTGGGGAGCCAGGGACTCGGTTTCTGCATCTGTAACATGTATGTGCTCCTCAGAACTTCTAGGTTTCTGGCACGAAGTAGGTGCTCAGAAAATGCTGGCTCACAGATGCAGGTGTGTGTGTGTGTGGGGGGGGGGGGGGGGCGGGGAATCACCACATACAATTCCAGAATGGACAGGACCGCACCTACTATGCAGCTCAGCCAGGACCCCCAGAGAACCCCAACCCTGCCTGAGCCACAGATCTGTGGCATGGCATCCTACTTCCCCACTGAGCCTGAGGGAGGAAATCCACAGTGAGGGCAACAGAGCTCCCTGACAGAAGCACAGGCCACAGTGTGCCACCAGCTTACCTTCTTTGTCAGGGCCTTGGGGAGGGTTCCAAAATGAGGCTCTGCTGCTCTGTCCACCGGGTTGTTGATATCTGAGGGGACAGACTCTGTCCTCCGAAGCCTGGCCACTGTTTGGAAAGGAGGGACTCTTGTCAGGGACAGATGCCACGAGAGGCACCCTGGGTCCCGGAAGCGGGAGAAGGGGAGAGCTGGCACTCACGTGGGAGGAAGGATATTCTGCAGGCGGGGGCCTCCTTTGTGCACTTGTTGTGACATTTCAACCTGCAAAGGAGGGGGAGTCAGCACTCCAAGGGGCACCCCAGCATTGCCCAGGTGACTCTGCCATGGCCTCAGTTCCCCCAGAGATCTCAACAAGCGTTAGCTCCAAGGTGCGCGCCACCCTGCCCGTTGTAGCCACTGTCTTCTTCGTCCCTACAAACCCTTCCCTGCTTTTAAGGGAGACCTTTCTCCAGTTTAGAATGCTCGAGGAAAATTTGACCTTATCCCCAGCCAGGAGTGGAAAGAGCTGGGCCGGCCTTCGGGTCTAGCCAACCTGTCCCCCCAGGTCTCCTGCTAACAAAATGAGCTGCGGAGCCGCCCTCCCACTGCCAAGTGCAGGGCAGTGTAGGGGCGCCATGTGCTGGCCATTCATGGGGCTGTCACTCATGGTGGCTCAAATAATCTGAACGAATCAGCTCCCCAGATGTCTAAATGGAAAACACATAGGCCAGAAAGGGCAAGTACCTTGTCCCACGCCACACAGTAACGCCAGGGCAAAGGCGGCTGGGAACTGAGATTCCATCAACAGAGAGCAGATGATGGGACGGCGGCCCTCACTGAGCCTGCCCACGCCCCTTCCCACTGGGAACCACAGGCTATGACACGACAAGGCTGCCGGTATGAAACCTCCACCTCCCCTCACTCTTCCCCGTCATCAGGCAGCTCTGCTTCTGCCACCGCCCGCCAGGCAGCCCATCTCTCAGCCTCAGGATTCCTTCTGGATCCCAGAGGAGTCCTCACTCTCTCCCGTGCCTTTGAATTCTTTTTTTTCCCCTCGTTCTACCTAGAGAAGTTCTCTTCCTTCTTCAAAACCCACTTCAAATATTCCTCTTTTCCAAGAGGGCCTGGCTCCACCTCCTGAGGAGCCCCAAGCGCCCCGTGTGCCCAGCGGCCCTGTGAACGGTTGGGTAGAGGAAGTCCTTCAACCCCCCGACGTGACGGAGGCCGGGCACGGAACAACAGGGCTGCTCTAAAGGACAGGTTTGTGCTCCCGCTTCACCTGCAGTGCTTGCACTTCACCCCGAACATCATGCTCTTCTGGCACACGTTGCACACTTGGGACAGCCACGACTTCGTGGAGAACCTGCCGGGGGTACAAACGCGAGTGGAGGTTACAGCCCGGCCTCTGAATGGGTCCCGGGGGAAGGGGGGCTCGGCCTGATCCCAGGAGCCCCGGAGTTCTGTACTTGGGGTCGCAGCTTTCCCCAGGCACCTGGGGCCCCCAGCTGCTGTCAATATCTTAAAGTTGGTGCGGTCAATGGGACGGAGGGTGGCACCAGCAATCAAAGCAGCAGTGTGTGCGCCCTCGGACCCGGTGACGCCAGTCCTGGTATTTACGAAACAGGATGAGATGCCAAGGGACACGGCGCTGCTGCAGCCACATACCACAGTAAGGCTGGAGGAACCCTGTCCACCAGCGGGTGACCATGGCGCTCCAAACAGACGCACACACGCAGCTGAAAGATAGGAGCCATTTCCACACACGCGTGCAACGACCTCCAAATCTCACTACAACGTGACAAACTGCTATGATGGGCAAAGGAACACAGGAAAAGCCCAACTGTGATGACAGACTCGGAGAGTAATGGCAGGTGGCAGCATGATCAGCTGGGAAGAGCCAAAGATGACTCTCCAGGTGCTAGAATGTTCCTTATGTCCATCTGCATATACAGCAGATATCTAGACACTCATTTTTTTGGTTTGTTTTGTTTTTCTTTTTTGTCCTATTTATTTATTTATCTATCTATCTTTATTTATTTATTTATGTGATTTTTAAAACTATTTTGTTATTAATTAATTCAATTTACATCTTGCTCATAGGCCCCTCCTTCTACTCCTCCCAGTTCTGCTCCTCCCTCCCACATTTCCTCTCTATTCCTCAGAATAGGGGAGCTCTCCTACCCAGACACCCCAGCTCATCTATTCACATGAGGATTGAGTTCATCCTCCTCCCCTGTGGCCTGGTAGGGAAGTCCCATCAGGGGGAAGTGGTCAAAAAGCAGGCAGCATAGCCTGTGTCAGAAATTCCCCACTTTCCTAAGCAATGGGCCTAGGAGGCCCATCAGACTTATCTTCTTGGGGTCTGTGCATTGTAGTGTGTCTTTCCTGTACTATAGGACTAAAATCTGCTCATAAGTGAGGATATACCATGTGTGTCTTTCTAAGTCTGGTTTATTTTGGTTTTGTTAAGACAGGGTTTTTCTGTATAGCCTTGGCTGTCTTGTACTTCCATTTTAGGCAAGGCTGTCCTCGAACTCACAGAGGTCTGCCTGACTCTACCCAGCTGTGTTTTACTCCTACGTAAATCACATGGACTTAAGGAGGGAAAAAAAGCAAAGGATGAAGCTGCACCATGTGCAGTTTTGTGGAAACAAAACTTACACACACATCTACTTGTACAAATCACCCCTAGATGACTACCTAACCTGTGTGTGGCCACACTGAGAAGCCAGGGACAAGAGGGAGAGGGGGTTTTTAACTCTACCCTGTGATGCCTCTTGAGTTTTGAGCATATGTATTTTCAATCTAAGATCCACCAAAACAAGAACAAACCAGAAGATAGACTGGAAGGCGAAATGGGATTTAAGGGGATTCATGTCCTCTAGCACAAAGCCAGTCGAGGAAACCACAAACAGCCCTTTCATTTTCGAAGGAAGATGCTTTTTGGCAACACAGTCCATCACCGCAGCAGCAGAATGACTGGCAACAGTGTTGGTGGAGTTGTTTGTAACACACCCACAAACGTTAGCTGACTGGAGGATTACAACCACCTCCAAGAGTTAGGCAGAACCAGGAATCCTGAAAACCAAGTCAGGGGGCTGGGTGGTGGCCTACCCTAGCTGTGTGCGCCCCAGATCCTCTTCCCCGAGGCAGTGGCTGGGGGATACTGGCATGGACAAGAATCCAAGCAGAGGTCCTGTGCACCAGGATTGAGGCTCTGCCACTGTGACAGTGACCTCGGATGCACTGGTCAGCCCTCAGGAGCTAGAACTCTCCCTTGGGCGAGAAGCTGAGGCCAGCATCAGCACAGCTGGAAAATAGCCCGCTGTTTCCATAGAAACCACAGGCCCTGGCAAGTTACAGTGCCCTTGAGTCCCTGACAGTGTTCCCTGCTGTGATTACAACAGACGTTAGCATGGGCAACCCAAGGCACTGTCCTGCAGGCTGTGCAGCAGGTCCATGGCCAGCACATTCCAGTCTCAAGAGCACTGAGGCAGACCTCTGGACAGTCCTTGTCAGGGGTCTCCAGTGGTCTTCTGCTGTACTGTACAAACATCTATCTCCAGGGTTCTTAAAATCCAGATTGTCACCAGGCATGGTGGCACACACCCTTGATCCCAGAACTCAGGAGGCAGAGGCAGGAGGATCTCTGTGAATCTGAGGCCAGCCTGTCTACATAGCAAGCCCAGGCCAGCAAGGGCTACACAGGGAAATCCTGTCTAAAAAGATAAAATGATATTAATCCAGATGGCCAGGCGGAGAAGAAAATAGGCAGGGTCTGGGAACATGAATTTTCACATACGCTACAGAGGGCCCTGACGGCCTTAGGACTCCCATGGCAGAGGTGACTATGGAAGAAGCTTGCAGCTTCTTCCCATGACTGTGGTTCTATTTTCTTTGAACCTGGAGACGGGAGAAAACTGTTTTCCCTCAGCCGGGTGAGAACAAGACCCAAGGAGAGCCCAGAAAGCCCAAAAGCTGTCTGGTTAAGTAAGTGAAGAGCTCACGGTGGGTGCAAGCCTTGCTACAAGACAAGCAGATGGGCCAGAGGCACAGAGCAACCAAGACAGACCCAACAGTGCCCTGTGGAACCCAGGTCAGCTCTGTTCCATCACAATGGAACCTACCTGTGTGTCACTGAGAGCCCGATGTCCCTTCGTACCAGCTGTGGGGACCCATGAGGGAGATCTGTGGGGAAAGAAGGGAGGTTGGGTGAACTGGGGAGGCTCTGTGGAGCCGGCTCCTGCCTGAGACCTTTCTACCTCAGAGAGCAGGCGAGATGGGGCATGCTGTTCTTTTACACGGCTGGTGCTAACAGCCGACTAACTCGTTTAAGGCCAGGTACCACAGAAGCAACAGCACAAGGAAGGGCGGAGGTCTACACACCTTTTGTGACTATGACAAAAGGTCCTCTGCCACCCTATGACCGGGAACCCACAACTCTATCACCTGCAGTTCTCTGGCACACACCCCCTCGAGGCTGTTGCCCCTCAACTTCCTCATAGGGCCACCCGACTCCGTCTGTGGCCGAGAGCATCAAAACACAGCACTCCGAAAGGTGTGAGCTGCCAGCTACAGGAAAACAGTAGGACGGTGACAGGCCAGTCATCAAGCTCGGAGCCTGACCTCTGATTTGTGCTGTCTGCCACAAGTATGCAACCATTTGTGCCCGGCAGCACTGCTTTGGATCTGGGTGGACTATGGGTCTGAGAGGCCCACAGCCTCACTTCCGTGGCCACCACACCACCACAGCCACTGGGGTGTGAGTTGTGACAGTCAGGGATGAGCGCAGGGCAGGCACCCTACCCTCCTTACCCTCACCTTCCTGGGAACCTGCAGCAGCTTCCTCCAAGACTGTCACTGCCTGGCCACGCTCCCCAGAGCTTACCCCAGCCACTATTATCATCTCACTGGTGGGAAAACAAATCACTATTTCATTGAGAAAACCCTAGACATTCTTGGGACACTCAGACACCCAAAGCAGACTCAGGAGGCCCAGCGGACACCTCTGCTGGGAGTCACAGGAACCCACAGTTTGTGAGTATATGTGAGACCCTGATCCCAGCTGGAGACGGGGAGGGGGAGAAGAGAAGGCTCCAGGTTTGCCTGGGCCGCCTCCTTCTCTTCAAGGACCTGCACCCTCAGACGTGGAACTACCTCTGGGAATTCCTATCTCCTGCAGAGGGGAGTCCTGAGCTGTCAGCAAGGCTCTAGGTGGATGACAGGTCACACCCAGGGCACAGCTTTCTGAGTCAGCTCAGAAGATGGGAGTAGGCACAGGGGTCGATACAGCAATGGCAAGGCGGAGACAGGCTTGGCAAGGGCCTCAGGTGAGCCGAGACGCCTTCGAAGTCTCTGCTTCCCATGGGCTGGGCTGAGGCCAGCCTGTCATTTTAAGGCCAGCTGCCTCAGGGCTACGTGACGAGGTGGTTGCCAGCACTTCTGCTTCTGCTATGGAACAGCCCACCAGGCTAAGCGGGGTCAGAGAAATCCACCCTGGACAGGGACAGCAACTCGAGCATGGCTTCCGGTGGCAGAAGGGATGAAAACGAATTATTCTTACCAAACCTGGAGAGACAAAAAGGAGAGCAAGCTCAGCCTGTGCTTTAAAGCTTCCTGGTAATAAAGCAGGCCAAGGGCTGGGACAAGGGACAGAGACTAGCCTTGTGTAAGCCTTGCTATCCATCCAGCACAGCAGAGTCACCCCAATTTCATGACCGAGGAAGCAAGGTCTTCCTGGGTCATGTGACCTTGGGGGGGGGGTTTGGGTGCCCAAGGTCCAGGAAGAAGGGGATGGGTTGGTGTGTTAGAGAGGCAGGGAGCTGGGCAGGAGAGTAGGGAATGCAGAGCTGAAGGGTGGATTCTACAAAGGATCAAGTAGGGACATGCCCTGAGCGAGCCTGCCTTCTCTTCTGGAGCTCCCCTTTCCCAAAGGAGGCAGGAGTTGGGGGGAAGGACTCTCTGCTGCCCTTGGAGCTCACCAGGGCATCCGTGTCAGGTGGCTCAGTTTGGTGGGGAACGGACTCAGAACCGCAACGTCTGAAGCCAGCAGTACTACTGGCTTGAGGATCTGTTCCCTTCTTGAACGTGAAACTGAGGCCAAGCCTACTGCTCTTCTCAGGAAGAAATGAGAACCAAGGCATCAGCTGCAGGTCACTGTGAGACCTTCTCTGATGGACCCCGTGGCCTCACAGAAATTATCCTATGTTCTATGGCTGCATCTGGGGGCACCTGGGCTGGGTGGCACAGGGATTTTCTGGGTTTCTGCTCCATAATTCAAAGTCATCTGACCCATCCAGGGCCTGGCACATCACAGACCAGGACAGGCTTCATGCAAGCAGAAAAACGAGAGCGCTGCTAAAGCCCTAGGAACCCTCTGGAAAAGGAGTGCCATATCAAAGAGGAGAGCCAGGTACCTAAACCCCCAGGGAAACAAGAAAAAGAACCCAAAGAAAACAGCAGAACCCACAACGATCCAATGGCTACCAGAAGGGACACGCTGACTGAGTTACACAACAGTATGCGATGAGCAGGTTTTTAAATCAGGTGTTTCGATTAATACAGATACTGGCAGTGGAGGGGGAGAGAAAGGCACACTTTTCATACGGCCTTTGGAGCATGGGCACAAGCTATTTAAATAGTTACTATAAATATGAATAGTTGTTATATTGTACTGGTTAAGAAACAAGGATAAGAGAAGAAGTGAACATTCAGTACAGCGACAGGTAATGTTTTTTCCTTGTGTGTTGGAGATGGTAAGTGTTCTATCATGAAGCCATATCCCAAGCTCTCTCCCAGCATTTTTCAATCCTTCAGTGGTTGGATCCTCAGAAGCAACTCATGAAACAGGAAACCAAGTCTACCTAATTGCCAGCGCACAACATCTAGAATTCGCTGTTTGGTCTGCCAGTGACCCAGGAAGCAATGTTCCAGACAGGGGCTGTTCTGCTAGCCTATGAGAATCAAGTCTTTAAGCATTGGGGATAACGGGCCTGTTTGTTACTGTGGCCTAGTCCAGCCTATCCTGACTGACACATGCATCATTTTATATGTGTCTGTGCACAGAAAGGCATCTGTTGGGATTCAGTCCAGCTGCATCAGAGGGATGGATGCCTGTGCTTCTCCCTGCTTCGATGTGGGTTGAGTTTATCAGTCCTTTGTAGGTGCCCAAGAGAAAGCCACGGGGCAAACTCACCTCACTGGGGTGACTTCATCGATTCGGTTTCCCAGCTGGGACTCGTGGGACTTGCTGCGTGTGAGCGTGGGGAAGTTGGGCAGCAGCTGGAAGACCTTGCGGCTTGGGGGCGGGGGTGTCCTTGGCGGCTTCAGCTTGGCGTGCCGTCGCAGCTGGGGTGTCGTAGGGGGCGTGATGAAGCTGTGCAGGGCCCGGGGTGTCAGCCGGCCACTGGCGTGCAAGGGGATACAGGTGTCCGAGAGGCCCTCACTGAGGCCGGAAACTGGAGAGTCTGAGGCAGGCAGGGCTGACACGGAGACGGAACGCGGCCCCTGAGTGCCGACACCCAGTCGGCCCAGTGGGGAGAGCATGTCCGCTGAAGGCCCTGAACTACTTTCTCGTTGTGCCTCCGCGGAACTCCAACCAGAGTCGTCCTTGTGCTCCCCTCCTGTGGGTCAAGGAGTCAGTCAGAAATACAAGGGGTTCAGAGGTGCCACTACTATCTGAAAGCATAATAATGCTATCAGCACTGATTTCACACTTTCCCGTGTTGGGAGGATCTCTTTGTACACTGGGTAAAGGCTGTGTTACTCAGCTGTTGGCTTCTGTACCAGCAGAGACCTGAGTACTGTCAGACTTTGGTACTGTTACTTTCATGAAGCATCACCTGTCTCAGTGTTTTGTGAACACATTTCCCTCATCTTCTGACTGGTTTAATAAAGAGCTGATGGCCTATAGCTAGGCTGGAGAGGAAAGGTGGAACTTCCAGGCAGAGACAGGAACTGTGGGAAGATTTGAGAGGGGCAGAAGCTTTGCCAGACAGACACGGAGGGAGCTGGAAGCGGCAGGCAGAATAAAGGGGTTAATTAAGATATACGAGCTAGCCAGGAAATAACCTACCTAAGGTCTAAGCTTTCATAAAATAATAAAAGGTCTCTGTGTTATTATTCAGGAGCTGGCCAGTTGAGACAGTCTGGCGATAAATGGCATCCAACGTGGTAGCTAGAAATCCAAACTTAGGCAGATTAAGGCATTAGCCCAAGACAGGCATGGAAGGCATGGGAGCAGCTGGAAAAGTAGTCTCTTAGCAACCATGCAAGCCAGCCAGTGGCAGAAACAAGAAACCGTAGAGAAGCCTAGTGTGGAGGCGTGGCTCTTCTAACTGTCCCGAGAAGCAATAGGGCCAGCTGCTGGGCACTCGAGTTGGGCCTCTGAGCAGTTGGGTGGGGAGCAGGGAATGGGAGATTCAGTGGATAGCCCACAGGCAAGTAACTCCCCAGAGCTGTGGTAGAGCCAGCTGCTGTGGTGGGAGAAATGCAGCGTTGTTCAAGTGCAACCCAGAGCTGGGGCGGGCAGGCCTGGCTCCCGGCCGGTGCCCACAGGGGTGAGGCTTGGCTCTCAGGGAAGGGCAAACAGTGGCCTCAGCCCCCAAACCAGCAAGTGCAGCCTGCTAGATCAAGATGAGGGGCTGAAGCCGGCCGCCAAAGACAAGTGCTGGCCTGAGGAGCAGAAGGGACATTCCCCAGAACTGCGGAGTTACCGAGAAGCTCCAGATTTCTGAACTGGTAATGTATTAAGTTTGGAAATAGGAAATGGGTAAAGAAACTGGATAACAAGAATCACAACTAGTTTGAAAATAAAGTGAATTCTCTGAAGGAAGAAGAGAGGGAGCTTAAAAAAAACATTTTCTGTGTTAAAAAATGGAAAATAAACTGAGTAGTGGTGGCTCATGCCTTTAACCCCAGCACTCAGGGAGGCAGAGGCAGGTGGATCTCAAGGCCAGCCTGGTCTACAGAATGATTCCAGGACAGACAAGGCTACACAGAGAAACCCTGTCTTGAAAAACCAAAACCACCCTACCCACCCCAAAAGAATACAATAGCAAAGGGCACTTGGATCCCATATAATTTTGTTTTAATTCTCACCATAAAAATAATTATGTTTGGTAATGATTACAATTTTATATATCCTCTTTAAGAAAAATCAGAATAAAGCAGACTCAGATAAGAAAAGGACTGAAGAATAGACTACTAGATCAAAGGCCATGGAACAGAGATTAGAGGATTCTTTAAATCAGAATAAAGAATCTTCAGAAGAATCCAATCTGAAACCTACAGTGACAACAAAAAAAGTAGTTCCAGATGAACAAAATCCACAAGGTTATCAAGAATCTGGATGGCAGCCCATAGAGGCACTAGAACTAAAGAGATTTACAGGAGTAATAATGTCTTATAGCATGTATTGGGCTACGGAAAATCATATAATTCCAAAAGACTGGAGAGATTTGCTATAATAGCTAACATGGTGGATGACTGATACCTAGTCAAGATTTTGATGGCTTTTTCCTTGAGTTCTGAAAAGACTGGTGCCGCGGTTGCACATTTATTAGAAATAATGGCTACCTTAAAGATGCCTTTGCAGACTGGAGCTGATGATGCACCAGAATATGTATCCAATAAAATGCAACAATTTTTTAGACATTATGGCACAGAACAAGTTACAGATACATCTGACAATCCTACAGGTCAGGCAATAACCCGACCTGTAAAAGGAAGGAGATGTTAATAGGCCAGAAGGGGAATATGAGATCTCCCAGAGATAGATTAAATAACACCTTATTGACTTTAAATTTTTCAAGTGCATATGAGACAGGTAGCACAGCTGCTGAAAAGCACTGGGTTTTAGAAAAGACTGCTGAATTAAAGCAGCCCATATATTGTAAGAATGGTTAACTTCAGAATGGAAGTCAGGAAATGTGTTGCATTGGGGAGGGGGGAAGTTATGCCTTTGTTTCAACAGGAAATGAAAAGCCGTGGATTCCTTTAAGATTAATAGATGAGATTTGACCACGGGACACATCTTGTGAATCTTAGCTGCAGACATGAGGGAAAAAGGAAGAACAAAACAGTTGACATGAATGCTGATCCCGCTACAAGAGAACAGCTCCAAGACTGGCTGAGACAGGAACATCTCGGGCCTCATTAGGACAAGCCATCCTTTCACATGACATGGACGGAGATTTAAATTACAGTTTGGTTATACGGTCCAAATGGACTTACAGAGTTTGATACTTTTCACCTGTTCAAACGGAGCAGAGAATCACCTTTAGCTGGTTTGTGCACACCACACATTCCATGCTGAAATGCGTATTACCTTTAAAAGTTTACGTGTTTTCAGAGCAGAAGAACCAGACACCAATGAAGACAAGTAGCCCAGGTGATCCAGCCTCACACTGGGCCTTAGCTGCGGTCTCCTCAAAATCTTCATCCAGAACAACGTCAAAGTGGCTAGCTCAGGCGGTCCAGCCTCGCAGGCTGTTCTAGCCAGGACTTCAGTTAAGCCCTGCACTTTCCCATCGCCCAGAGACTGGGCTGAAAAAGTTACAGCTAGCTCTCCCAGGACCTGGCCAATATGCCAGTTTTCTTAGGGTCCCCAAAAGACACAGTCACCCCCAGACAGCAGGAAGTAATTTTAAGAGAACAATGCCCATCTGAGAGGTGGTGGGGGTTGGCTGTTTGATGGGTGATGGATGTTCATTGTCTTTTAGGGGAGGGGTTGGTTCCAAGTTGTTAATGGCCTTCACCAAGGAGAAAATAAAGAAGGTTAGATTCAGGGATTTCTATCTTTCTTCCCTCTGCCCTTCTTCCACTCCTATCTCGTGTTAAGGAGAAAAGGGAGGAGAGAGGATGAAAAGAAAAAGGGGAGGCAGATATAGAGATATAAGGAAAAGAAGATTCTTGAATCTACTTTTATACTAAAAGCCAATTACTAGTCTCAAATACTTTAAAATGGCATGGATTTTTTATACTGATACAAATTTAAGGTTATTTTTGTTATTGTACCTATGCAGCTCATTTAAAAATGTAAAGTTCTAGACCCTTTAAAAGCTAGTATTATTTAAGATAATTAAGAGATGCGGGTTAGTAGTTAGTCACATATAACAACTGAACTTGTAGTCTTGTTAGATGCTAGTTTAGTTAATTACAGAAATAAGCTTGATTTAGCCTCCTGCAGATGTTTTCAAAGGGAAGCAGATAGTAAGTAGCTGAAAACAAGCAATGTTTGCCTTTTCAGATATACTTTAGATAGATAGGTGATCATCAAACCCTTCAGAGATCTACAGAATTTGGCATTTAGTAATATAAGGCTTTTCATGACTGTGAGACACATCAGCTCCTGTCAGAATCCCCATTCTCCTCCAAAGAAGATGATGGACATCAAAGAACCTCCATATGGGGTTTGCTTCAATGTGGCAGAGCTGGCCACTGGGCAGCAAGCTGCCCTTTCCTTGACTGCTGACAGCATGTTGTCCAAACTGCAGACAAACAGGACACTGGGAAGTTGACTGCCGAACTTTGCCAAGACAAGGTAGCCCAGTCCGTAATTCCTGCTTCACAAATAAGTCTGTCAGATATGCTGGGCCAATAGGCTGAAGATGAATGCCCCAACGTTACAGAGGATTCTTGGGAGACTGTCCAGGCAGCAATCAGTCACTGTCATCTCTTGGTTTTGAAGCTGCTTGCTCTGCACTTCCTGTTTACTCAGGTAAAATTTATCTTTCTCACGTCTCTGATGGAGTTGAAGTCTAGATAGTTACAGTCTCATATATATGCTTAAGATATTTTTAGGTTGATAAGTGCAAATTATGATAGAAGGGGATTTAGGTACAGAACTTGGAACTCACTAAGATAGGGTAGCAGAGTACTTTCTCCAATGCAGCCAAATTCTTACCTGATAGTTCTCATAATTGTTCTTATTGTATATAATTTATGGATGTTAAAGCTTTCTATTGGTTTAAAAGGGGACGACGTTGGGATGATCTTTTTGCACACTATGTAAAGGTTGTCTTTATACTATTCAAGTATTGATTTCTATATCAGCAGAGAGCTGAGTACTGTCCTGACTTTGGTATTATTTTTTTATGAATCATCATCTGTCTCAGAGATGCGAACTGTGGGAAGATTTGAGAGGTACGGGAGATTCACCAGCCAGACATGGAGGAAGTTGGACAAACAGGCACTGAATGAGAGGAAACGGGCCATGTGGCAGACATGGACTAGAATAAACAGGTTAATTAAGTTCTATGAGCTAGTTGGGGAACAGCCTAAGCTAGGCCTAATCTTTCATAAAATAATAAAAGGTCTCTGTGTCGTTATTCAGTAGCTGGCAGTTGACAGAGTCTGGCAATACCATTGTACTGAGGGGGTGCTGGGATGCCCACGCCAAACTGGGACCTCAGGAAGGGAAAATTCTGCGTTAAAGACTTGAGCTGAGATGGGGGTGGGAGGTGGTACACACCTGTGATCCCAGTATTCAGAGGGGTGTAAAGGTGGAAGGATCTAAGGTTCAAGACCAACCTTGACTACACAGAGAGTTCAAGGCCAGTCTGGGCTACAAGAGACTCTATTTCAGAAACCAGCTGGTTTATGTTATTTCAAACATCAGCTGGCGTGGTGGTGTGTGCCTGAAGAGACCTTGCTTACAGAGTTAGACCCTGTCTCAAAAACAAAGCAAATCAGAACAAACATGAAGCAAAACCAAGTATGAGCCAGGCTTGGTGGCACACAGGCTTGGTGGCCCTATCACAGCCCTCAGGGAGCTGACATACAGGTGGGTGAGCTCAAGGCCAGCCTAGACTACATAGGAAGAAAAGACCAGAGGCCACAAAGGAAAGCAGTGGCAGCGTTTCCCATCCTCCACAGGCCTAAGAGTTAAAAGCACACCTGACCTTTAGTGCCCCTTGGTTCACTTCACCAGGACAACAATCCTGTCAGAGGAGCAGCTACTGCCTTATTGTACTGATGAGGGACCGAGGCACAGGGAGGGAGAGGGGGACTGACTCCTCGGCTCATCTTTGCTCTGACTGGGCTGCTCTCGCCAGGTCCTGCTCGGGTGCAAGCAGGATGCTCTGACTGCTTTCAACCCTGGTGGGCAGTGAGGAAGTCCTGTGGGATGACTGGAAGCCACAGCCTGTCATAGGGAAGCAGGAGTTTCACAGCTGAGAGTTAACAGGAGAGAAGCTGCAAAAGTTCTCCTCCCTAGGGCTGCCGTGCCCTGGCCCAGTGGGAACCAGACATATCTAGTGCCACACACACTCAGAATAAAGAACTTAAGCCCTACCCTTTGGGGGATAAAATGAATTAGCTGGGTATGGTAGCACACTTGGGAGGCAGAGGCAGGTGGATCTCTGTGAGTTTGAGGCCAGCCTGGTGTGTGTGTGTGTGTGTGTTTATATATATATAATATGTATATATTATATATTATGTATTACAAAGCTCGATGCCTCCCTTTTCAGCCTCAGGAGGCTGAAGATGAGGCAGGTAGCTCAGATCTTTCAAATGAGGCCTGCTTCCATTCGTTAGGCTCATTTCAGTGGCTCCTCTGGGTGGTGGTGGGAACATTAAGTCAGGCAAGGGAAACTGTTTCCAAGGGAAGAAATAAAATGCCTGTGAGTAATCCCTGAGGAGACTTCAGTAATGGCAGGATTACTCGAGGCCTGGGACAGCCCTGGGCATACTCCCACAGAAGCTGCAGAACTTCTCTAAGCATGCTGGGCTCAGGCCACACTGACACCAGAGAGGCTTCGAGAGCAGAAGGCTGAAGCTGCCCATGAGGACAGGAGCAGGAGGGGAGCTGTTTAGAGGAGGGAGGCTGGAAGCTCACAGGAAGCTGGTGGAGGGGCTGGAGCAACACAGTTGCCTTCCTGTAAGTGTCGGAGGTGTTGTCATGCTGGGCCTGTCCTGAAAACCGACTAGGGATTCCTAACAACGGCTGAGGCTTCCCAGGTCAGACTGGCTACACCATCTGGGCTCCAAGGCCCTGGGAACTCTGAGGGGCCTCCCTTAGGGCTGAGGACCAGCTACTTTCTAAACAGCCATACCAAAATGGCCCCCAAACCCTGAAGCACACCCTCCCTGTCCTGAGGCCTACTCAGGCAGAAGTCCCACCTCCCAGGGAACTGGCAAGCCTAGGAGCACAGGCAGGAATAGAGGCCCGGGAGGGAAGCGGGCCTTTCTTACCCAGGCCGGTCACCTTCCGAAGGCAGGTGAGGGCTTGTTGTAGCCGGCTGCACTCCTCAGCGCTGGCTCCCCAGCGCCGCAGCGTCTCCTTTGCCTTGGCCTCGTCCATCTCCAGCAGGGCATCCAGTGTGAGCTCTTGGGGAATCTCCTGGGGGGCACAGACAGGACAGAAAGCTGAGGGAGCGGGGAGGGAGTCTCAGCCCTCGGCTCTGAAGGACAGGCCTTTCAGCTGAGTGGCAGGAGCCAGCTGCTGCCTCAGCTGGCCTCTGACTAGAAGCCACCACTTGTCACAGGGCATGGGCAGAGCACTCTTACCCCCTCCCTCAGTATGGCAGAAACAGCAGCTGAAGTGGAGTGCCACCTTTGGGTTGGGGATGAGGAGAGGAAGAGAACACCAGAAAGGTGTGGAGGGGGACTCACAGCCTACTTATTTGTTTATATTTATTTATTTATAATTCTTCAGTACAGAAAAGTTGGTAGCCATGATACCTTTGGTCGCTCTTCGCAACTTGATTATTAATCTGAATCATACAAGAGCGATCTCAGGCCAAATTGCTTTTAACAGGGATAAAACAACAATAAAAAACAAACACCGCTTACTGGCTTGTATTTTAGTTAGTCAAAGTAGGTCAGCTAGACTGGCATGATCCATCCCTTCTACTTGGGAGGCTGCAGCAGGAGGATTCTGAATTCAAGGCCTGTCTGCGTGAGAGAGCGAAGTCAAGGCCGGCTAAGCAACTTAGTGAGACCCTGTCTCAAAATAAAAAGGAGGCTGAGGCTGTGGCTCGGCTGGCAGAGTGTGCCTAGCAGCCACAAAGACCTGGGTTCGAGCACTGCATAAACCAGGCACGGTGGCACACACCTATAATTCTAGCTCTTAGGAGGTAGAGGCAGAAGGATCACAAACTCAAGGTCATCCGTGCTTACACGGAAAGTCTGGGGCCGGCTTGTGTTACATAAACTGTCTAAAAAGGTGGCAGGCACTGGGGAAGCCGGGCTGGACGTGCAGCTCAGTGGTCAAGAATTTGCAGGTCACTGGGATCCCTTTACTTGTAGAGAATGTGGCTCAAAGGGCTACGCCGCTGGACAGAATGTCTTTCGGGAGGCGGGCTGCAAACCTGACGACCCAAGTTCCACCTTGGAACCCAAAGACAGGTGAGGACTCGCTCCCCATCAACGCCCTCTGACCTATGTATGTGTTCACATGCACATTAATAATAAAATGAACTTTAAGCAGCTATTATTAGAGCCAGGTGGTGGTGGCCCATGCCTTTCGTTCCGACAATCGGGAAGCAGAGTCAGGCGGATCTCTGAGTTCAAGACCAGCTTGGTCTACAGAGTCAGTTCCAGGACTGCAGGGGTACACAAAGAAACCTGTCTCAAAACACCAAAAAAACCCAACCAACCAAACAACCAACCAACCAACCAACCAACCAACCAACCAACCAACCAACCAAAAAAGCTATTATCAGGCTAACTTAAGGACAAGGGTTAGTTTCATTCTCGGATCCCGTAAGGCTGCAGGAGTTCGATTTCTTTGATTTCTACACGAAATCTCCTAAGGGGTAACGGGAAAGTGGCTACAAGAGACTTCTGTGCTGTTTGTTTAGACAGAGATAGGGTCTTATACACCAGGCCGGCCTTGAACTCACCAATATTTACCTGTCTCTGCTTCCCAAGTGCTGAGATTAAAAGTGTGAGCCACTGTGCCTGGCCTTAGAAGAATTTTCTTGTTTGTTTTTTAATCTTAATTTTTATTTTATGTGTATGTCTGTGCACCAGGTGTGAACGGTGCCTGCAGAGAGCAGAAGAGAACCCTGGATCCCGGGAACAGGAGCTACAGACAGCCACAAGCTGCCATGTGGGTGCTGAGAACGGAACCTGGGTCCGCTGGAAAAGGACGCCAATGCTCTGAAGAGTTGAGCCACCATCTCTCCACCCACCTTCCCTTCCTCTGCAAGGTGGTGTTGCTCCCTTGGGCTCACCTAAATTCCAAAAGCACCATTTAACACATAGTCTGTCCCCAGTTATCATCAAGGACCTCTCAAAATGGCTTACCTCCCTCCCTCCCCTGCAGAAACAGAAGGTATGAGCTTTGGAATCTTTTGGGCACTGGAGACAATTCGACAGCGTCTCTGTGTGTACTGTGTTCTTGTGGCTTTTCTCCCATTCAACTTTTATCAGTTTATTCCAGGGGACTGTTAAAAGGTGAAGGGGAAATTTCCTTCTACCCCTAAAAAAAAAGAAAAAAAAGTGATACCTTCTTTGGCTGTGCAAGAGCCTATGCAGGGAAGGTGGCAACACTGGTCTGGAGCTAGGCTCTTCACCGTCCTTTCCCTGCAGAGCTGAGAACTTACACAGGGGGTGCATGAACCTGCTAACAGTACCCAGCGTTAGAAAACTCATACAGAGCATGAACGCTGAGTCAGGCTTGACATCAAAGTCCCTCCCCCCAAGGAATCCACACACAAAGAACAATGGACCACATCTCTGGCCTCTAGGGCTTATAGCACGTGCATGTGTGTCTGTGTTGAGAGGGGTTGTGGGAGCTGAGCAAATAAGTAATTACTATTCACTAAGATCCAGGCAAGAACAGGAAGTAACGTGACTGCATGACTGTACTGACCGTCTACATTCCTCCTTAATGCCTTTTAATACTCTTCACATTTGCAGTAACTGGGGTGACCACACATCCCATATCAAACACGTCTGGAAAGCTTGAAGTGATTTCCAAGGATTCTAAAGGCAACTGTATCTAGTTTTGTTTGTTTTCTTAACACAGGGCCTTACACTATTCCCGAGCTGGTCTTGAACCTCTTTTGTCGCTCAGGCTGGCCTCCCAACTCCAGGTGATCCTTCTGCTTCAAACTCTCAAGTGCTGGGCCACAGGCCTGGACCACCACATCCAGTTCAGATTTCATTTCAAGAGGATAATTTCACTGTCAGTGCATCTGCAGCGCTGCAGATCTTAGACTCAAGTGTCAAACTGAACGGACGGAGTCTTGGAGACAGCGTGGGCCATGTCCCTCCTCCCACAGCACCTGGGGCAGGTCCCTGTGTCTCAGTAGTGGTTTAGTCCACCTCCAGGGCTCTGGCAAGACTCTCAGTCCTGTTTAAAACAGTTCCCACCACAGTGAGATAGACACTCGATACCAAGAAAGATCACCATCATTGCTCAGACTAACTACTGGCATCAGAAATCCTCCTACCCCATCACGTGAAAACCCACAGGAAACCACTGCTGAGCAGCACAGGGAGGGGAGTCTGATTCAAACCCCGTCCTTACAAGGGAGCATTTTCCCACTGCCCACAAGCCTTCCTTTATAACCCCAGCAACTGTTCTTCATCCTGGTGCAGCTTGGCCATCCCATCCTTCCTCTTCATTTTCGTGGAAGTCAGCTTGGCGATATTGTTGTGACAGGGACAGGTGACCTTAACCTCCACCCAACTGCCCTCAACAGCAGGGTGCGATGCAGCACACACCTGGAATCCCAACTTGGAACTGCACATGAGAGGATCTCAAACCCGAGGCCAGCCTGGGCCACGTGGTGTGATGCTGCCTCAAACAAAAGCCCGAAGCCCCCCCCCCCCCCCCCCACAGAGCAACATCCTACCTTGGATGGCATGACCCCGGCTGGTCATCCACAGACACCCTGGCAGGGGAGCATACCCTCGTGCACACGTGCTGCCCAGAAAGCTGACTCCGCAGCTTCCTGGCAGATGAGAGACAGAAGCTGTGGTAACGATGGAGTCAGACATGGGGACCCCAACTTCCAACCTAACTATAAAGCTAAAACGAAGGGTTTTTTTTTTTTCTTTCCTTTTTTCTTCCATGTTCATCAACCACACCCTCTCAATTTCTCACACGGAGTGATTCCACTCATTGCCACCACCCATCTGCCAGCATGAGGCTCACGCTGTTTTGTGTATGCTATCTCCACTTGAACCGACTCAGGAAATCCATGCCACTCGATCCGTGTGCTAAAGCTCGGAAGAGCTCACACGAGCTCAACAGCAGCCTGTCACATGCTGGGCCTCCTGCTCACCTGGAACTCTGAAGCCCCCTTCTCCGGGAGAGGGCTACTTCCGAATAACCAATTTCTACCTACACGCCAAAAGAACCACCCAGTAACATGGAAGGGCCTCTGTTCTTTACCCAAGTGAATTAACTTTCCTGGTAAGGGAAAGAATATGTCCAAATGCTTATCTTTAAAAAACTAATGCTTATAGCTTCAAATTAGCCAGAGGCGTGTCTCTCGCTCCTCTGAGGCCCAGGGATCAATCTGCCCCACCTTGAATAAGGCAGGGGCGAGGCCCTTCTTTCTGTCCTTCCCTCACGCCTGCTTTAGATGATCTGATTCAAACAGTGCTAGAAGGTAGGCAAGACCAAAGTTGTGGGTCGCAAGGATGCTAGAGAATAAAGACACCTGGAGCCCTCTGTATACTGGAGCCTCACCCCTGCCCTCAGCATGGGCCACTCGGGGTTTCTGCCTGGCTACAAGGGGTATGAATACACACCCCACGGGGATGTAATCAGATTGCTTAGCACTCCATTTACACCAGTCCCCTGCCATCACTTCTGAGTGACAGTTCTCTCTACCACTTAATCTCCCTGGCATGAGCAGGCAGACGAGGAACTTGGGGGAAGGCAACCCTGGTCCCCAGAAGTTGCAGCAGTATATCTCTGTACCTTTTCTCTCTCTTTCTCTCTCTCTCTTTTTCTTTCTTTCTTTCTTTCTTTCTTTCTTTCTTTCTTTCTTTCTTT